AAATACGTCTGGAAATTCTCGCACAACTGGTATATCTTCAAGCTTCCCTTTTTCAATCCGCTGATCAACAACATACGCTAAGTATGCTGTACACCCCTTATTCAACAATTTACTAGCTTTCATTGCAAATATTACAGATGTTGGACGAATTTTTCTTTCACCTCTATAGATAATCTCAGCCTCCCCTGGCGGTTTAAATATAACCTCCTTCTGGTAACAGTCAATCGATGCGTGATGTGTGAACAAGAAATCCATTCCCAAAATAACATCAAACTCACGAATATTCAATGGGACTAAGTCCACATTAAACTGCTTATCACCCAAATCAATCATGCAATCACGATACACACTGTCTGCTATCAAAGATATACTACCCGGTGTAGCTACTACCAATTCACTAGGTAAGGGTTCTGACTTTCTATCTAACCCAACAGAGAACATGATAGAAATAAATGAATGTGTAGCACCCGGATCAAATAAAACATGAGCATTTTTATCGAAGATATTCAGCGTACCTATAACTACATCTGGCAGTTCTTCAGCCTCATGCTGCATCATCGCAAATATCTTTCCCTGACTACGTGGTCTGCCTACCTGACCCTTCGACTTAAGGCTACTAGAATTTCCTGTATTTGTTTGCCCCTCACTCACGGGTTTTGCTTGTGAATCTGAACGTCCCTGCACCGTCGGTCTTGAGGAAGCTCCTTGGGACGCACTACCTTCCGGCCACAACTGAGGACATTCTCTTTTCATATGACCTGCTTGCCCACAGTTATAATAAACGATACTCGCCCTCCAAAGGCATTCACCCCTGTGCGACTTACCACAATTCTTGCATACAGGATATCTAGTATAACTAGAAGCAGACTCCGCTTGTTGCCCAGATTGCTGACTACCTGAAGGTCTTCTATACTGACTCGAGCCACTTGTAGTCTGTTGAGGAAAATTTACATCCGCTTTAAAGTTTTGTGATCCTCGATATCTAGGTTTAAAACTCCCTCGACCCGACACTTCAGGCGTAAATCTCCTGCTACTATCTCGGAAATGTCTACCACTCGAAGAACTGGTAGAGCTAGAAAAAGTGCCACGCACATTCTTTGACACTTCCCTCTGATTTTTCTTGTCCAACAAACTCTTCTCAACCCTTGCTCCAGCTTCCACCAAGGGTCTAAATTCCTGCCACCCAAATGCAGTAGTACAGCTTCGAATCTCCTCATGCAATCCATCCTCAAACCGTCTACATCGATCAGTCTCATCTTCAATGATAGTGGTGGCATACTTTGAAAGTTCTACATATTTTTTCTGATATTCTGCTACCGTCATCGACCCCTATACTAGCTTCAAGAACTCACTTCTTTTTGTATCTTTGTAGGATCGTGGGTAGTATGCTTCATTAAACAAGTTTTTGAATTCTTTCCAGCTTATTTTTTCAGCTTTTGGTTGTCTCGCTATAACTGACTCCCACCACTCACCAGCTCCTCCTTCTAGCAAAAATGTAGTCAGTCTGACTTTCCTATCTTTTGGACAACCCATCACATTAAAACATTTTTCTATTTTTTTCATCCACAATTCCGCGTCAGCTGGATCTGCCGTCCCAGAGAAATCAGTAGCCCCTAAGGCTCTGAGTCGCTCGATCTTAAAGTCCTTCTCGGGATCCCTTCTCAACATTCTTACTCCCAACGCAGCAATTCTTGCCATTACACGTTCACCCTGATCAACTATATCCTCTTGTGAATCACAGGACGGTGGCTAGACTCACCAACTACGTCTTCTGCCATTGTATTCTGCCTACCAGGGACCTGTTGAGTTTGAATTTCTTTAAACCTCCATGTTCTGCCCTCACGTAATAAAATAAAAATGACATGCATATCACACAATTATAACATAAACCATTAATGCATCTTCTATTCATGTTATACAAGATCTTTCTTTTTCTCTGATACCAAACTGACACGACCCGTCCTAAACACCTACTAACTTTAGGACAAATCGTGCCGACCACAGACCCTCAACCATCTACCAAGTCTATAGTCAACTTCTTTCTAAATTTCTAAAACTAATTTAGATTATTCTTCAACATATAAAACATAAAGTGTAACATAATTCATCTCCAAAATAACTACTCGGCCACGACTCCTAAACATGCTGTAGAACCACAAAAGGTACAATTATTCCAGTATGAATCATTCTAGATGTACATACAAAAAGATGTGCAAATTCTGAGATGGTGAGTGGCAGAAACTGGTCGGCTATCTCAATAAAACTCAGGTGCAGCCTGGTGGAAGAAAACAATGATAAACAGTGAGCTAGGAAGCTCAGTGAGTGGCATTTTAATAATGAAATAATTTCATAAAACTTATTCCATATAAACAACTGAAATTTCAACTCTTATAAAAAACTTCTTTAAGTTGAAATAATATGCTTTTCGAGCAAAACTTCATATACTTTCTAAAAAAAAACACTTTCTAAACAGATATCAAATATCTTCTTTCAAACCTAAAACAGATTAAGGAAACACAACACCATATATGTATCTACATTCTATTATAGTCTACTAGTGCAGAGTAATCTCAATACGCACAACAGAATAATTCTATTTCTGGTCCACTAGCATAGAGTAATCTCAATATACACAGCAGAATATTTCTCTCAACGCGCGGAGTAAAATGGTCCCAAAGACCTTCTATTTCTGGGTATACTATAGAAACACATTTACATAGCATATGGGTAATCACCTGGATACAACAATATGGTGGTTTGGAAACGATTCTCAGAAAATTCTCAATCTCATAAACAGTTCTAAAAATTCTTTTTTCTTTCTTTCTAAGAACATTTCTTTCTCAAATCACTTCTAAACATATTTCTTTCTAATCATATTCAGTAAACACAACAGTTTCTCAGAAATTCATAAAACATTTCTATGTTCTCAAAAGCATTCATAAATTCTCAGCAAACTCAATTTCTCAGCAGAAATAATCAAACATACGCAATATATTTTTTTCCTTCAAGTTCTATAATAGATATC